CAATAAATTGTCTTAGCGAGTAAATTTGTAAAAACCACCCGGGAGAATAGATATATATACTTTTTTAATAACAAAATGGCGTAAAACATTGTCACAGTGTTAAGTTGTTGTAGTGTTTAGTACTTTTTAAAACTATTAACTACAAATTCGTAATCGCTTACTACAAAAAAAGAAAAGATTGGCTGAGATAGAATTTAACAAAACAGTACTGAAAAATGGTAAACTTTTGACCCTCTTTTTGAACAATTAAAAGGCCTTGAACAATTGCAAAACCTTAAAGTTTGATGCTTAAACAGAAAGAACAGTCTCTGCTGAAGAAGAAATGCTCACATGCGCAAATTAAAATCTAGTGAGTAGAAGTTTAAAAATAGAAAAACCAGCTGATGGTCCAGAAATCGGCCGCGGTCGCTAGTGTTGAGAGATTCTGAGAAAATGGTACTAAGTAATGGCAATTTTTTTGGCTCTAAATTAAGGCAAATTAAATTTAAAAATTATCGGTTGAAAAAAACCACATATAGTTCGAAAATTCGGTACAGAAAAATCGCTACATTGTGGCCTCCTTGAACACACGAATCACCCAGAAAAATTTCTATATGTCATATAATATGTCGAAATTTTAGAGTTTGATGCCTAAACCGATAGTACATTCCTTAATATAAAATACTTATCGAAATTAAAAGCCATAAAAGGGTTCATCCATAGTAGGGTGATAGAAAAGCAGAAAAACTATCGTTTTCCCGACAAAATCCTTTTTCCTATAAAAGATAATTAGTTAAAACATTAACAACTTTCTGTCAAATTTTAGTTTTAGACCAGGCTGATAAAGAATGACTTGGCGAAGTTTGGACATCATTCCCGTCAATTAAGACTCGAATCAAGACCCTGCCATTTATTTTACCGGCGATAATGCAAGACTTTAGTGCCTCGGTTTTGAAGGTTGTTACAATATTTTACGGCTTCACTGCAAAGGGGCGATAAATTTTATGAATACGCTTTGCAGTTTTCAACACTGGTTCCGGATCATCTTGCTTTCGGCATAAAAAAAGACTTTTCAAACGTAAATAACGTTTTAAAAAATTGGATCGAAGGTCGCGATAGCTCAGTGGGTTAGAGGAGCGGCGTATTTAGCCGAAGGCCGTGGGTTCGAATCCCGCTCGTTGCACTAATTTTTTATCTCAACCAAAAAACTTAGATAAAAAGGTTAATTTAATTGAAAGAAGTAATTTCGTCAATAGACAACTAAATATAATGGATTTAATAAGTAAAACGAAGTATATCTTCACTAACAGCTCCCCGTGGCCACTTCATATGTCGCCGAGAATCGAATTCTGATCACACGACATTTGAAAAATGGCAAGAAGAAAGAAAATTCGAAAGGTTGTAGGTTGAGATGGGGCGTTGGTGTGGATCGAAGTCACGATAGCTCAAGTGGTAAAGCAGCGGCGATTTTAGCCGAGGGTTGTGGGGTTCGAATCCCGCTCGTGAGACTGACTTTTTTTATCTCAACCAATGCCTTATATAAAGATTAATTAATTGAAAACCGTTATTCGGTCAATCAGACCACGAACTCTAATGAATGTTTTATGTTCAGCATTTTTTATGTACATTACAATAAAAATATAGTTAAAGCAATTAAATTGTATAAATAACGAAAAAAATTGAAATACCAAATATATAAATAAAAATATAATAAATATTTTTCAAGTAAACTATATCATAAGAGTATAATCATAAGATGCCACGATGGCTCAAGTGTTTACAGCTGCGGCGTATTTAACGTCGTGGGTTCGAATCCCGCTCGTAGCACTAACTTTTTCATTTCAACCAAAACTTACATAAAAAGATTAATTAATTTAAAGAAGTCATTTGGTCAATAGACCACTAACTATAATGGTTTTAAAAAACGTTTAACTAGTCTGGTGGGATCTGATGCTCCGACTACTCTAAATAATTCCGAAACATTATTAGAGACATGATTTTATATTAAGTAATTTTAGAAAAACATTGATTACCTGAAAAATTATGCAAAACATAAAGAATCGTCATCTCTCTCGTACCTCGTATTCCTGGAGACTGAAACGTCTCAAAAATAGGGCAGTACTTTTTCCCAACACTCCTTCAAATCGTTGCAAAAGTAAGGAGACAAAGTCTAAAGACATACAACGAAGCTGCAGACGTTGTTAAAGGGCCCAATTAAAAATAATGGATAAACAAAACAACAAAGCGTATTTTTGAATGTTTTCTCTCTTATTTTTCTATTAGATCTTCTGTTTTTTTGTAGCATTAGTTGTTCTAAGAAAGAAAAAATAATCCTTCTTAAAGCAATTACATATAAAAGATAATGCACGCGATTTTGCTTTATGATTGATTTTCCAAACTAATTTATTTGCATCGAATATTCAAAGTATAACTGTTTCATCTTCCCTTGACGAATATTGTTGTATTTAATTAATTGTGCCTCATTGAGTGCAATGTTACATTTCGTAGAAGTCGTCCTTTTTTATATAGGAACCGCCCACGCTCGCGGTTCTGAGTTCGAATCTCGCCATGGTCCATAAAATTTTATTTTGTGCGCGACCAGGTGTCAACATGGTCTAGACCTAACAAGCTAATATTCACAGCAACCTCACAAATGATTGAATCCGCATAACTCCTCCACCTTTCTTTTTTCTCTTAAACTAAACGACTTCTCAATATCCGTAAAATGTTACATCACATTTGTAGAGATGACTTTTAAATTTACCCGTCTTTTCCATATCCAGACCAACACCCAACTTCAACTTTGCCCAGATATTGTTGAACTGGCGCAGGGACTTTAAAGACAGTTAAAAACAGTTATCTGACACGTTTGAGCAATGTGAAAATCCCGGCTGAAGACCAGAAAGTGACCTTACGCAAAAAAATATGTTCAATACAGAAATATTTCGTTCAAAAAGGTAACGATGAGATTGGCTCCGTTTTATGCAAGCGAAAATCAGAAATGCAAGATAGCTTTTCCGTTAAATTAACTTTTTTATTTCAAATTAGCCCTTTTTATCATTAAATTAATCTTTTCCAAAAAGTGAATTACCATATTCACCTCAGCTCAAACCATTTCAATCAATTAGTTGAAGTTAAAATCACCCCTTTTAATTGCGATTTAATTCTTTTTAACTTCAATTTACCCTTTTTAATTTCGATTAATTTTTAACTTCAAATTAACCTTTTTTAAATTTCCAGTTAACCTTCCTCAATTACAAATTATCCGTTTTTAACTTCAAATGAACGTTGTTTTATTTCAAATTAACCAGTTTTAATTTTTAATTATCCCTTTTTAACCACAATTAACCTTTTCAACTTCAAATTAACTTATTTTAATCAAATTAAACTTTGTTAATTTAAAATTATCCCTATTTTTAACTTCAATTAACTTTTCCTACTTCAAATTAACTTATTTTATTTATAATTAATCCTTGTTAATTTCAAATTATCTCTTCTTTAACTTCAATTAACTCTTTTTAACTTCAAATTACCTTTTGTAAATATCAAATTAACCCTATTTAACTTAAAAATTAACCCATTTTAATTCGATTAACTTTTTTTTTTAACCCTTTGTAATTTCAAATTATACCTGTCATGAAATCATTAAAAAAATGCTTATGAGAGGGTATGAAATATAAGCGTGTTTTTTTATGGGGGGGGGCTCTCAACACAAATGTGAACTTCAGCCCCCGTTGTGCCGGTGTTCTTCCATCGAAGAAATTCATTTTTGAAGGGGGTTGGGACCAAATTCAGGGTCGCTGAGGTCCGATCCCGCCTCTTCCATTGATGAGTGCCGTGGCAATTTCTTTCAGTTGCGGCCACCGGCCCCCTTAGGCGTCAGAAAAAAGTCCAGAGGCGACGGTGGGGATCGAACCCACGACCGCGGCCCTCAATTAGGCTCCTAAAACTCTTATAAAATTTAAATATAATTAAAATTATAACAAGTTATTACTCCTTTAATTAAAGATAGTTTTATATGTAAAATAATTGGGTTCTTAAAAACTGTATAAAACGTATATATTATTAAAATTAAAAGTATATATGATGTATTTAAAAACAAATAATTTTTTAATTTGAGATTTTTTGAAAATAAAAAATGATTTTCTTCAAAATCTTACAAAAATTAATTCAGTTAAAATTAAAAATTACATAAAATAAACTACAAAAATAAAGGATTTTACTTTTAAGTTGAGAAATGTCAAAAATCGTGGTTTTTAAGAGCCCATTATTTTATATGTTATAAATATCTTAAATAAAATAAGAATCATTTGTTGTTATGTTTAATATAATTAATCATTTTAAATGTAGGTTGTTTTCATTTTTTTTTTTAAGAGACCGTTTTTTTAAATTTTTTTTTTTTAAATACTGGAATTTAACTTTACGTACATACATTTCATACCTCATCTCATAGCTTTTTTTAACTAAAGAAAGTGTTAATCTGAAAAGCGTAAATAAAAGTCCAATTAGAAATTAAAATTCGTTAATTTGATGTTAAAACGGTTAATTTCAAATTAAAAGGTAGGTGGTGCATTCAGAGGAAAATGCTACAATGGCAGTTTTTCTGTTTGCTTTTAACAAAATAACAGGGAAACGCATCACTGAAAATGGCGAGAAGCCGAGTCTAACGGGCAAAAACAGCAGTGATAAACCAGGCCAAAATCTACCACCCGAATTTAAACATAAAGAATTGGAATTTTTAGTTTATGTATAACGAAAAATTCATTTGATCGGAAATAACTTTCTACCACGCAGTCGTGATATTATTTATTGTAGAGCGTACATGCTAATTTTCCACATTGCCATTTACGCAATTATTCCAACGGAAACTGAAAATCCAATTTTTTGACTTATTGTCGTAATTGATTTTTTTTTCCAATCATATACGATCGGCTCTCATTCTCGCCTTGCCTTTTCATAAGCAAAAACAGTATATAATAATATTTCATTTATTTTAATAGATGGTTTTATTTGTTTCAGACATGTTTTTGGGTCTTCTAATATCCACGGGTTGGACTGCTCTCGCTATCGCCGGCGCGATACCATGTCCAAACCAGTGCATTTGCCTGTCCCAGGCCCAGGTGAGATTCAACTTCTCATTTGACTTACTTTAGCCGATCCTAAGTAGCAAAACTATTTTAAAAAACGTGATAAACTGTATAAAACTGAAAAGAACGGAATTGAAGAAAAAAAGACAATTGAAATAATCGAATCGATAATAAGTGCAGAGTCCACATTCCACCATTCATCTGTCATTCCAAAATGATATATAAAACATACACACACACACACACACACACACACACACACACACACACACACACACACACACACACATATATATATATATATATATATATANCCGTTGCGGCCGCCGACGATATATATATATATATATATATCGTCGGCGGCCGCAACGGTTTAGGCGTTGACACGGCGCTCATCACTATAAGGTAAAGGTCCCGGGTTCGAATCCAGCAGCCCCGAGGATTCATGTAACCTAGTAGTTGAAACGCACTCGTTAAAAAAAAAGTTTACGTAAAAAGTTAATAATGTTTGTTCTCCAATTGTTTAGTTCCTATCCAATTTGATTGTTTTTGGAGCCTAAATGATTTTTCTTGCTTCTGCTTATATTAATGCCTCCAGTAGAGGTAGGTTTAGCGGTTTTTCGTGCATTTCTCATTTCCCCTATGGTACGTAAGTTTGCTAATCTTTGTTCACTGCCTAGTGTTTGGTTAGCTATTTTTTGATGAGCTTTGGTCCATTAATGGATCCATAAGTTATTTTGGGTCTTATTATCGTTGTGTAAAGCCAGTGGACCATTTTCGGTTTTAAACCCTAAGATTAGCCTACGGTTGTTCATGTGGTTAGCGATATTGTACCTTTTGTTATGACGTGCTGCAGGTGAGGGTTTAAGGTTAACATTCTATCAAAGATTATTACTAAGTATTTAACCCTAATTTTTAGCTGCATCATTTCATTATAGAAGCATAGACGTGTATTTCTATGTTTTTTCTTGGTTAGCAATTAGAGTAGGTTTTGAGGGAGAATAGTAGCAGCCACAGTAGTGCGAGAAGGCCAGGATCCGGCACTCACAGGGCCAGGTTTGTGGTTTCTATAATTTCTCTATAATTTTATATGTTTGCCCCTTCCCACAGGTGGTATATTAGGTACAGTTTCCATGAGCTATTTTTTGCACTTTGGTTCTCGCAGGGTATCAGGACAGTCCCTTTCTCTACGCATATGGCTCGTTGCCCTCCCCACCAACTATGTGACGGGATGGTTGTGCCACATCGCTTTCCTCAATTATCCTTTTTTTATTGACATGTCCAAAGCATTTCTCTTGATTATGGATGCTGCCCAATAACCTGTCCCTTTTACCACATTTGGTTGGCATTGGCCCAGTTTTTTACCGGTTTCGGTGGTCGGCCTAGGTGTCATAAGGGTTTTTCCCTTTCCCGATTTTTCAGGATTGGATCCCTTTCAATACCATTTTACGCCTCCGAGCCCGGAAGATTTTCTTGGGTTTGAGGTGTAGTTTCTTAATCTTTTCCGTCACCTCCATTTGAGTGGTTTCGTCTTCCGGTTTGGTTTTTCTGAAAATGCCCCCTCCCACATCTGCAGGTGACGCGAGGAGATTGTGCTCCAATCCTTGGTTTATGGGAGTTGAAGAGTATTCGGTGCCTTCTTCAATTTGCATAATTGGTTTTTGGGTCTTTCTTAGCAGGTTTTTCCTAGTTTTTTTCCGTGTGATTCTCACAAGTATGAGGGATCTAAAGGCTCGCACCAGAGGAGACGCTGGTGTAAGGTTTATTACTCAAGTCACCTGGTACCCTTGAGGCTTCTGTTATTAATAACTATTAGTTTCTCTTGTGCCATCCATTATCGGCACGGGTTGCACTACATCACGGGTTGGAGCTGGATTGTGAGATTAGGATTGGGATTGGGGTAAGGAGAGGGGAAAGGTGCAGGTTTTAAGAATAGGGTTTAGGAAGTGACAAGTCCATATGCTTTCCCTCCATACCCCTCTTTCCGACCGTTTGATTAGCAGGGTACACCTGCATAAGCTTCGTGAAGGTAGAAAGTCGGAATTGAGTATTAGTGTCTATTAGAGACGTATAATGCCCATTCGTACCCCTGGAAAACCCATACGTCACGATGTATTTTATCAAGGGTCCATTTCACATAACCAGAACCGTAAGTCTCAGGCCATGGGGTGAAACGGAAAAAATCAAACGTATGAAAATGAACTAAGTGTGTTTAATCAAATCGTAATTACAGATTCTTGGATGGCACAGAGTAGCTATTAGACGCTTGTGGGAGACCGATAATTGTGACAGGGCCGGCCTTCTTCATATTACAAAAGGCTCTGTTGGCTCGGCTCTTTCATCATAAGATGTGTCCATTATTCTGTCCCAAGGATAATCATTTGACGGCGTAAATAAATAAAGGATAAAAAATAAAAATAAGGTGGAAAATTAAGTTCACGATTTATTGTATCTTGAGCCGGGAGATTTTGTGATTCAAGTGCTATTCCGGGTCACTAAGAGCACTCGACACTACCACTAGTGCTAATTTATATAATAAATTAAACCCACATTTGTAGTGGCCGTTTTTCAGACGGACAGCTGTTTTTTTCTTATTTATTTTTATTAGATATACTTATTTTAATTTTTTTATAGCGAGACAATACGGTGTGCAAGGAAAGGAGCCAAAATATCAATACCTCCAAGGTAACAATTGTGCCATTTGCCCGAAAAATTAGCTAAATATCACACCCATAACGCTGCGAAATGAAGAAATAAAACTCAAAAGATGTCACCAATTTGAAAATAATATTTGGCCAAAGATTAACAAAATAGTGCACACCTTAAGAGAACCCACGACAGAGTGATAAAAGCTCAGTGGATATGTCAAACAACCAATCCTTATCTACGGATCTAATACTATCGTTGAAATCCCCGTTAATTTTTCAATAAGAAGATGAAGGTGGCAAAACGTTTGGGTCTTTCTTCCTTGACCTTCTAGCTGTTTGTAAACTTCTTAAGCATTACATACTAAATGGGCATTAAATTAAATTAAAAAATTTCAATGGAATTATGATTTTGATTCTCTCTAAAAATTAACGGGGATTTCAACGGTGCTTATAGATTTTAAGAGAAATGTNTTGGTGTATATATATACAGGGTGGCCCCAATCGATTCAGCCACACTTCCAGATCTTATAGGAAATTGAACGCTGAGTAAAAAAGGTCTTATGAACCTGTGTCCGCAAACCCTTCAGTTCCAAGCTACAGGCAAAAAACCATGAAAAACCACGTTTTTTTTACCTTATTCGTGAAATTGTTAGTAAACCGTTAGCCTAACCGTAAAATAGCTCGAAACAACATTAATCGATGAATTATCGATTAATTTCTGCGTCGAATGAGATTAAAACCAGCCTGACCGGCCGAAAATTTCATATTTGGCGATTTTTCGAAGTTAGGAGGTGAAGGGGTACACAAAATTCACCATTTCTGACATTTTTATCGAAAATTCACAACTTGAACTCTTTGCTGATGGGTATCCCCCTACTGAATCAATAATGTACGAAAAATCTGAAAGGCTAACCGAAGTCCGTGGGCCCTGGAGAGGAAGGATAAAAAACAAAGAGTAGTGTTGGTTCGACTTCGAATAGACCACACCAGAATTACGCTTAACACAGCAGTGACGGCAGCAATAATTTTATCGAATACCTGTAGCGAATTGATGTTATTCCACAAGTGGTTTTCCCACTTGAAATGAATGTATTTATTAACGTGAATGTTGAATATGTGTGGGTACGTTGTAGAAGAATATAGAGTACTCCATGGTACTACCTAGGAAAGCTATTCCTGAATAATAAAAACCACGAATTCGATACTTTTTTGGGGCTCATTCTGAAGCAAATGGGCTGGAAACAATATAAAAAAATATAATTTTCATTGTGAAAAATTGACCTCAGTCAAATCAAAAAGTGTTGGGTTATCATTTCTTAATTTTTATTCTCGCGCCGGATATTTTTTTTTCTAATTTGGCAGAAAGGCCTATCCAATATAGACAACTACGTGCTATAACTACCGCACGTAGATTTTTTTCTTTTGAAATAAAAAATTGGCAGAGAAATGACGAAAACGTCGATGCAACAGTTGCCCGCTACAGAGAAGCAGATAGAGTCCTGGAAGGCCAAAAACGACAGCCGACAAATGCGATGTGACTACCGAGAGGAAACACGATTTAGTAGACTTGCCAAACCTACTTGGCCTACGGAAAAAAAATTACTCCGCACCCTCGTAGAAATCCACTTTTTCAAATAGTTTTCAATGATAAGTATCCGTTCTTGCATTCTCTGTGCATGTGTCCTTTATTGTATTCACTATGTTCTGCAACATTTGTTAAGTTAGAAAAACAGTTATATCTTATCAATGATCAGCCTAAAGTTGATGTTCGTTGAGTTGATGAGTGAGCAGAGTATGTGTCCAGGTTTCCAAAATGCTTGCATCAGAAGAAGAGGCCCAGAATTTATTTGAACCTTCATATTTTTGTAGGATTTGTCGCTTAAGAAGGATTAAATAATAATATAAAAACAATTGATTTTCGTATTTTCTATTAGAATTTTAACTGTCCAAATTGAAACTATTTCAATCTCTCCGCCAAAAATTAAGTTTTTCTTAACATAAAAAAAATATTACCATTAGGATTCTGTTAAAAATTCGTTGAAATTAATTTGAAAAGAATTTGTCTATTTTACCTTTGACGGTTGGGCGTCACTTATGAAAACTTCGGTAATTAGGTTCACCATTTCTCAGACAACTCCGGGCGTGAGATACTCCATTATTTAAGAGCTCCACCGTAAAGGCATCACATTAAAACTATCGATTATCACCCTCTTCCTGAGTAATCCAGAGTGTCGGCTTGGGAGACGACCTCGGGAATTATTTTACCAAAACCATATCATTATCCATTTGGTCATATCTGATTGGCAAAGGTTTTTAACATTAAGTTTTAAACGATGGCAAAAATAGCTCAGAAAGTTATAATTATGTTGAACCGGCATTGGGTCA